TCAAGTAATAGTTGGAGGATGCTGTGGCACTCGTAGGCGCCTGGACAACCTTTTGTAACTTAAAAGCTTTCAGACGGTTAGAAACAGACTCCATTTTACAGTTACAGATGTAAGGCAAAATAGTCATTAAACCAAGTTAAAACCTAATCAAAATCAAAAGTCACATTATATCCATAGTTAAGGTACAGTATGTTATACCAGTCCATCTTAGGATTGCTAGATGTCATCACAGAGTTGAAGAAAGTCCTTTCCTTGAAGCAGAGAAACCCACCATGGGAAGTCTTCAATTGAGGAGGAGGTTGAAAAGCTGAAAGCTTGTCCTGAAGACTCCGGACAAGCCCCCAAGATGATAGCTTACAATGAACGGTGTCAGATTTGTGATCTCCAAAGAAGAAGACTTTGGGAACAGGGACCAGACTTGATCATTCAAGAGCTTTGTATAGCAGTGTTTTATTAAAGTGAAAAGAGACGGAGAAAGCTTCTGACATAGACATCAGAAGGGGAACAGAGAATGCCCCAGTTGTTTAGTTTTTAGAGGCTAGTATTGATACATCCACATAGTAAAATAATATAAAACATACAAAAAAGTATGTAATGCAAATATATATATATATATATATATATATATATATATATATATATCTGCATGTGTATAGTGTTTGTGTATAAATCCCCTTCTCAGAAATGGTAGTATACTGTATATAGTATTTTTTATCTTGCTTTTTTTAATTAAAGTTTTAAAAATTGCTTATTTGGTTTTTGGCTGTGCTGGGTCTTCACTGCTGCTCGGGCCTTGTAGCTGCCGCGAGCGGGGGTGACTCTTTGTTGAGGTGTGTGGGCTTCCTATTGTGGTGGCTTCTCTGGTTGTGGAGCACGGGCTCTCGGAGCACTGGCTGCAGTAGTTTCGGCACATGCACTCAGCAGTTGCAGCTCATGGGCTTAGTTGCTCTCAGGATGTGAAGTCTTCCTGGACCAGGGATTGAACCCGTGTCCCCTGCGTTGACAGGTGGATTCTTGTCCACTGTGCCACCAGGGAAGTCATATCTTGCCTTCTTTTTCATTGTAATTTGGAAATCTTTCCACATCAAAACAAAACAAAAAAATCTGCCTTTTTCCTTTCTAAGAGCTACATAGTATTTCACTGCTTGTTGTTCCATAATTGATTTAACTATTGTTGAACAATTAGGTCTTTTCCCATCTCTTATTATCCTAATCAGCACTGTACCAAATATCCTTGTGCAGTCATCATTTTTACCCATGTGAGAATAAATCTTTAGGGAAAACATCAAAGAGTGTATTTGCAAGGTCAAGGGGAAAATATGCAGTTTGGACTTTGATAAATCTGGCAAATTACCCTCTTTAAGTCTTGTACTGATTTTCACTCCTACCAGCCATGTGTGAGGGGGCCAGCTTCCCACCCCTCCCCAAAACATGTGTTATCAGATTTTCCATATTTGCAGATCTAGTAGACAAATAATGTTGTCTCAGTTTTTTTTTTTTTTCAGTTCTCTTATGAGTGGTTTGAGGCATCTTTTCAAATATTTAAGGGTCACTTTTCACAAACTATTCATATCCTTTGCCTCCTTTCCCATTGAGTTGTTGGTCTTTTTCCTATTGAGTTGTGAATGCACTTTACATATTAAGGAGATGTTTTGCTGAAAGTTTTGCTTTCAGGTTTGAAGGATTCATTAACAAATGACTCATCATACACAATAAACAAATTTCAGTATTTAATAGAGGATTAATTGACTTAATTTCAATATACAGTCATTAAAAGAAGAGAAATAAAAAAATAGGGAAAAGTAACAGCACATACATCACCAAATTGGCCTGCCCAACATGTGGACTTAAACAGCATGCTGGGAAGTCCTTTGTTAACAGCAATCTGGAGTCCCAATTCGGAAAAGGTCCCAGATGGTGCATCCACCCCACAAGTGAGACTTCAAATTGCAGTTTCAGGGGCTCCCACTTATAATCCCAGGCTATGAATTGATATCATCATCAGTTTGCATGCACAAATTCAGCTCTTTTTTTACTTTCACCTTTTTACAATAATGTTTGTTTCACCTTGTGAGTCATAAGATTTCGTTAGACCCCAGGGGATTGGGTCAGACCCTCAGAGGTTCAAGAATTGCAAAACCCACTCCCTTTCTTATCTAAAGTTTCGCCTGACTCATGGTGTCAAGGCAGATCAGAGGCAGGTCAGAGGCCTGCTCTCCTGAAGCCTGCACAAGACTTCCTTCCTCCATTTTACTTTCCCTAACAGGAAATTACCTATTTGTATTAGGAATATATTATCATTTAAAAAATATTTTATACTTTTTATTTTGTATCAGGGTATAGCCAGCTAACAATGTTGTGATAGTTTCAAGTGAATAAGGAAGGGACTCAGCCATATACCTACATGTATTCATTCTCCCCCAAACGCCCTTCCCATCCAGGCTGCCACACAACGTTCAACAGAGTTCCCTATGCTCTACAATAAGTATTCTATCATCTTAAGTGGCTGCATACTTGCCCAAAGAATGGTTGAACTGTATTTGTTAGACGTTTAGATTGGATCTTGTTTTTTCCTGCACACATAGATTGTTTCCTCTGTTTTATATTAAAAAAAGAAAAGAAAAGAAACCACCCCAAAACAAGATGTGGCAGTTAAATTCTTTCCATAACCCTTACCAGAATTCTTCTCAGGGAAGGAGGTATTTCTGGAAAAATGCCTTGATGGGATTGGGGTGAGTGGGACCTGTGTGTGCAGAGGTCATCAGGGATCAGCAGGTCAGCGGAGCTTGTGTGAGGGCTAGGGGTGCAAAATGTGCTCCTGAAGTGAAAGAAAGAGGAGATAGGAGAGAAGGGAGGATGAGGAGAAGGCGGCGAGGAGCTGGGCTAAACAGGAAGAAGACTCCCAGAAACTTCTTCGGGATAGGATGCCCAAAGTGCACTTGACCTAAGGTGATGCACATGCTTCATGCGAGGTGGATGCTGACAACGGCCTAGCACCCGCTCCACTCTGCGGTCGTTAACTCAGTGCACATCTGCTTGGATTCTGCAAGGTGCCAGGCTGTGTGCTAGGTACTGGCCTGTAGGCGGGGACATGACAAGGCCCCAGCGAGGGAGCTGACGTGCCAGTGAAGCAGACAATACCCAAGTACATGAAGATGTGCCGTAGACATCAGGTAACAGTGAGGGAAACTAGGCAACTGAGCTCCTTTTGCCTGTAATGTAACAGAACCTGAGTAGGAGCCCTCTGTCCAAGGAGATCTGCCTGTGTGGGAGCTGTAAGCTTCCCTAGGCCATGGTATTTCAGGGTGTCTGAGCCAGTTCATCTGTACTGGGAAAGATGGGGCTGCCCCAGCTGACTTCCAGCCCTGTGAACGTTCTGGTGACCAGAGGGCTGCTCACAGCCTGGACGGTTTCCTTCAGCTCTTTTTCCACTGTGGACTTGTAAAAGGATATGTAGACTTTATTTTTAATTTTGGTGTTGTGTTAAAATACACATAAGAATTTCCATCAACCATTTTTAATGTTTTTAAAATTTATTTATTTTTGGCTGTACTGTGTCTTCATCGCTACACAGGCTTCCTTTTGTTGCGGCAAGTGGGGGCTAGTCTCTAGTTACAATGCATGGGCTTCTTATTGCAGTGGCTTCTCTTGTTGTGGAGCACGGGCTCTAAGGTGCACGGGTTTCAATAAATGCAGCACATGGGGCTCAGTCATGTAGCTCAAAGGATCTAGAGCATGGGCTCAGTAGTTGTGGCAAATGGCTTCATTGCTCCACACATGTGGAATCCTCTCAGACCGGGATTCGAACCCAAGTCCCCTGCATTGGCAGGCAGATACTTATCCACTGTGCCACCAGGGAAGTCCTCTGTCAACCATTTTTAAGTGCACAGTTCAGTGCTTTTAAGGACACTCATGTTGTGAATCCATCACCATCATCCATTCCCATAACTCTTTTCATCTTGTAAAACTAGAATCCCGTGCTCATTACCCAATAGCTCTTAATTCTGCCTTCCCCTCACCCCTAGCAGCTGTCATTCTACTACCTGTATGGATTTGACTACTCTAAGTATCTCATATGGGTGAAATCATACATTGTCTTTGGGGGACTGCTATATCACTTAGCTTAGGTGTCCTCAAGGTTCATTTATCTTGCAACATGTTGCAGAATTTCCTCCCTTTTAAAGGTTGAATAATATTCCATTGTATGTATAATCACATTTTTCTTATTCATTCATCCATTTATGGACACTTGGATTGCTTCTGTGTTTCACCTGTTATGACCAGTGCTGCTGTGAACCCAGGTATACAAATATCTCTTCAAGACCCTGCTTTTAATTCTCTTAAGTATATATCCAGGATCCAGGGTCATAGTATAGTTCTATTTTTGATTTTTTGAAGCACCTCCATACTGTTTTCCACAGCAGCTGTTTTACTTTCCTACCAACAATGCACAAGGGTTCCAATTTCTCCACATCCTCCCCATCACTTTTTGTTTTCTGGGTTGTTTTTCATAGTTGCCATCCTAATGGATGCGAGGTGATATCTCATTGTAGTTTTGATTGTGTGTGTGTATGCTCAATTGCTCAGCTGTATCTGATTCTTTCATGGACTGCAACCTGCCAGGTTTCTCTGTACATGAAATTTTCCAAGCAAGAATACGGGAGTGGGGTGCCATTTTCTGCTCCAGGGGATCTTTCAGACCCAGAGATTGAACCACATCTCCTATATCTCCTGCTTTGGCAGGCGGATTCTTTACCACTGAGTTACCACTGAAGCCCATTTCCCTAACGATTAGTAGGGCTTCTCTGATGGCTCAGTGGTTAAGAATCTGCCTCCAATGTGGGAGATGTGGGTTTGACCCCTGGGTCGGGAAGATTCCCTGGAGAAGGAAATGGCTGCCCACTCCAGTATTCTTGCCTGGAAAATCCCATGAACAGAGGAGCCTGGCAGGCTACATTCCACAGGGTCGCAAAAGAGTCGAAAACAACTTAGCAACTACAACCTAGCAACAGCAATGATTAGTAACACTGACTGCCTTTCCATGTGCTTATTGGCCATTCATGTTTCTCTTTGGAGAAATATCTGGTCAGATCCTTTGCCCATTTTTGAACTGACTTCTTTGGTTTCTTGTTGAGTTACAGGAGTTCTGTCTGTATTCTGGTTATCAATCCCTTATCAGGTATGTATTTTGCAGATATTCTCCTGTTCAGTGTGTTGCCTTTTTACTCTGTGGGTAGGATCTTTTGATGTATGATTTAAAAATTTTTATGAAGTCCAAATTTTTCAGTTCCTTTGATGTCTGTGCCTTTGGTGCCATCTCCAAGAAACCATTGGCAAACCAAAAGTCGCAGCATTCATTCTATGTTTGCTTCTAAGAATTTTATTATTTTAGGTCTTACACCTAGGGCCTTATCCATTTTGAGTTAGTTTTTATACATGGTATTAGGTAAGGGGCCAGCTTCATCCCTTCACATGTGGATATCCAGTTTTCCCAGAACCATTTGTTAAAAAGATTGTCCTTTTCCCCATTGAATGATCTTGGCATTCTTTCATAAATAATTTGACTATATATGTGAGAGTGTATTTCTAAACTCCTTATTCTATTCCATTGGTCTGTATGTCTGCCTTTATGCCAATACCACACTGTTTTGATAACTGTAGCAAGTTTTGAAATCAGAAAATATGATTCTTCCAGTTTTGTTCTTTTTTTCAGGATTGTTTTGACTATTTGGGGTCCCTTGAGATTCCATATGAATTTTAGGATGGGTTTTTTTTTTTTTTTTTAATCTTTACAAAAAAGAAGTCATTGGGATTTTGATAGAGAGTGCATTGAATCTGTAGATCACTTTGGGGAATTTTGACATTTTAACAATTGTAAGATTTCCAATCCATGAACATGAGATGTGTTTTCATTTCTTTATGTCTTATTTAATGTCTTATTCTTTCAGCAATATTTTGTAGTTACATTGTACAAATCTTTCACCTCCTTGATTAAGTTAACTTCTGAGTATTGGGTTGGCCAAAAACTTCATTCAGATTTTCCTGTCAGTTATTATGGAAAAACCCGAACAAGCTTTTTGGCCAACCCAATGTATTATTTATTTTTGATGCCATTGTAAATGGAGTTGTTTTGGTAATTTCCTTTTCAGATTACTCATCATCCATATTTAGAAACAACTGATCTGTTTGTGTTGACTTTGTATCTTGTTGCCTTGCTGAATTCATTTATTAGTTCTAACAAGTTTTTTTGTGGAATGTTTAGGGTTTTCTACATATAAGATCCTGTCATTGGCAAACAGATAATTTAACTTCTTCCTTTCCAATTTGGATGCCTTTTATTTCTTTTTCTTGCCTAATTCACCTGACTAGAACTGCTAGTTCCACGTTGTATAGAAGTGATGAAAGCAAGCATCCTTACTTTGCTCCTGATCTTAGAGGAAAAGTTTTCAGACTTTCACCATTGAGTATGATGTTTGCTATGTGTTTTTCATGTGTAACTTCTATTATGTGGAGGTAGTTTCCTTCTATTCCTTGTCTGTTGAATATTTTTGTGATAAAAGAGTGTCTTTTGTGTTTAGTTAACTTTTTGTAGTGAAATGTTTAGATTCTTTCTTAATTTTCTTTTGAGTATATTCTATAGCTAGTTTCCTTATGGTTAACATGAGGATTACATTTAACATCCAAATATAACATTCTACTTTGAATATAGTGACTTCACTTCAGTAATGTACAAAAACTCTGCTATTTTACAGCTCCATCCCCACTGTTTTCTGTTGCTGGTGTCACAAAAATACATCTTTATACTTTATATGCCTCAAATATAAAATAGTCATTTTAAAAATGCATTAGTCTCCCAGTGTTTGTGGAAAACAAGATTTGGAATTAAAAACCAATTACAGTAATACTAGCTTTTACACTAATAATTGTTTTTCTTTACATGTATACACAAATCCTGTAGAAATCAAAAAGTACAAACTATTGCTGCAATAATACTAGCTTTTATGATTGTCTGTATACTTACCTTTATTGATATCTTTATTTTTCATATGGCTTCAAGCTACTATCTAGTGTCTTTTCATTTCACTCTGCAGGAGTACCTTGAGCATTTCTTTCTGGGCATACCATGAACTCCCTCAGCTTTTGTTTATCTGGAAGTGTCTTGATTTCCCCCTTACTTTTGAAGGACAGTTTTGCCAGATATAGGATTTTGGGTTGACAGTTTTTCTTTTATCGCTTTGAATGTGTGGGCCTACTGTCCTCCGGTTTCTGGGGAGAAATTTGCAGATAATCACATTGAGGCCCCTGTGTATGTGATGATTCACTCCTCTCTTGCTGCTTTCAAGACTTGAACTTTACCTTTGAGATTTTGGGGTTTTTTAATAATTTTATTCATTTTTGGCTGTGCTGAGTCTTTGCTGCATGAGCTTTTCTCTAGTTGTAGAGAGTGGAGACTACTCTCTAGCTGCACCGTGTGGCCTTCTCATTTCATTGACTTCTCTTGTTGTAGAGCATGGTCTTCAGGGCTTCAGTAGTTGTGGCACGCAAGCTCAGTCTTGCAGTTTCCAGGCTCTGAAGCACAGGCTCAATAGTTGTGGTGCCAGGCTTAGTTGTTCTGCCGCATGTGGGATCTCCCCATCAGGGATTGAATCTGTGTCTTCTGCATTGACAGGCAGATTCTTTACCACAAGGGCAACCAAGGAAGCCCCTCTCTTTTGTTTTTGAAAGTCTGCTTATAATGTGTTTTGATGTGGGTCTCTGAGTTAATTTCACTTGAAATTCACTGAGGTTTTTGGATGTTTATATTCAACTCTTCCATCAAATTTGAGAACTTTTCAGCCATTATTTCCTCAATTTTTCTCTCTGTCCCTTTCTCTTCCTTCTTCTGGGGCTCCCATAGTATATGTGGTGGTCCACTTAATCATGTCTCACACATCCCTTAAACTCTGTTCCCTTTCTTCAGCCTTTTTCTGTTTCTCAGCCTTGATAATTTCCTTTATTCTATCTTGAAGTTCCCTGATTCTTTCTTCTGCCTGCTCAAATCTGCCTTTGAATCCCTCTCTCAATTTTTCATTTTCAATATTATATTTTTTTCAGCTCCAGAATCTCTTCTTGGCTTCTTTTTAGGTTTTCTATCTCTTTATTGATATTTATATTTTGTTCACACAACTTTTTTTTTTTACTTTCTTAGCTCTTTGGGACTCTTTAAGGCAGTTGTTTTAAAGTATTTGTCTAATTTATCTGTCCTTAATTTTTTTCAGAGACGGAGTCTATTGAATATTTTTTTCCTTTCAGTGGTCCATTGTTTCCTTTGTATGCTTTGTGATTTTGTTTTTGCTGTTGTTCTTGCTGAACACTGGACATTTGAATCTAATAATGTGTAAAATCTGGGAATCAGATTCTCCCCTCTCTAGGGTTGCTGGTTTTGGTTATTGGTTTGTTTGTTTTTGTATTGTTGTAAACTGTTTCTGTGCCTAGGGTCAACCTGAGATGTAAACTTAATGTCTTCTTATGTCTTTTCTGAACCTTTTCTTAGGCATGTGCAGTCACTTTATAATTTTCCCCATATGTGCGGTTGTTTCTGAATGTCCTTGTCTTTAATGTCTGGCCCCCAAAAGGGGAAAAGCAGAATTGAAGGAAGAAACAAAGGCATTAACTGAAAGTTGCACAGTCGTGTCCAACTCTTTATGACCCCATGGACTGTAGCCCTCCAGGCTCCTCTCTCCATGGAATTTTCCAGGCAATATTGGAGCGGGTTGCCATTCCCTTCTCCATGGGATCTTCCCAACCCAGGGATCAAACCTAGGTCTCCCGAATTGCGGGCAGATACTTTACCACTGAGCCACCTTTAAATCTCCTGGAGGTCAGTTCAGCTGAGAAGAGGCTTGCAACATGGAGGGAGTGGGGTGTATCAACCATGGCTGCCGTTTCTGTCTGCGCCTCTGAGATCACAAGCAGCAATCAACAGTTATGGCCCAAGTCTCCAATATCTGGAGGACAGGGTCCTTTTTACCCACCCTAGCTCCTGCAAGCTGCGTGCAAGTTGTTCCAGGAGCAGGCGCACAGATGACTGCCACGAGTCTGAGGGGTAAGAGATAGGTACCTATTACTGTGTTAAGAGCTGAAATTGACCAAAATTACCCAAAATTTAAGAGTCCAGACTTCCCCTTGCAGCTGTAAGTTTTCAACAGACTCCAGAATTCCAAAACAGTTAAACCAGATTCTGCTCACACAATTTTTGTCTAAACGAGGAGACAGAATCCTAATGCTTCCTACTCTGCCATCTTCCCCAAATCCTCTCTTGAACCATTGTTTTTTATATACATTCTTTTTGTTAATATTCTTTTCTGTTATGGTTTATCATAGGATACTGAATATAGTTCTTTGTGCTATACAGTAGGATCTTGTTGTTTATCCATTCTACACATAAAAGCTTACATCTGCTAACCCCAGCCTCCCACTCCATCCCTCCTCCAGTCCCCTCCCTTTGGCAACCAACAGTCTGATCGCTGTGTCCCTGAATGGACCATTATTTTAAAAGTTTGAGACCATGTTGCTAAATTTCTTTCCTAGAAGACTGTGTGGATACAGAGGCTACAGGCAGCTATAAAACTGCTTGATCCCCCAACTTCCATCTTCTGAGGGGAGGCATGGAGCCCGTACCATCAGCAAAACCCCAACCCCCATTAACGCCTTGCCTAAGAGGTTACTTCTGTTCTTCATGCCAAATGGAGGGAAGACTCAAACCCTGGGGAACTTGTACTCTGAGGCATTCAGGTCTTGTCACAGCATCTTGTTTGAAGAGAGAAACAGCTTGCTGTTTTGCGTGTCTCACAGTAGTCTTTTCCTTACATTCTTGAAGGTGTCCTGTGCATTTTGCAGCCACAGAATTCTCTTCTTGAAATGGACTAGTCAAGCTTTGTCTCAGACTTACACAGCAGAGTCAGCCAGATGATGTTAGGTGGTGCATGGACAAGGCATTCGTTGAATCATAAAGTAGGAGCAGCTGTGTTCTTTTCACTTCTCTCTGACCCTCCTGATTCATCACGAAGAAAGTCTCAGTTGACTGCTAATATCCGTAATGCCTCTCACACTGAGGACCACCTTTTCAACAACTGGAGGCCAGGTCTCAGGCCAGAGCCCCAGGGGGGTAGTTTCAGTACCTTTTCAGTGGGCATCATT